AGAGAGAGAGAGAGAGAGAGAGAGAGAGAGAGAGAGAGAGAGAGTTTCGCCTGAGATTAACCCAATTCTGTCTTCGCATGAAATCCTAGATTTTTTTTTCTCCAAACTTGAAAGGTTTGACAATGCGGGTATGGGGTGTCGAGGCTTCTTTGTCAGTGATGATTTAGGTTTGAGACATCCCTGCGTGAGCCGGCGCAGGGTGTTGGAAGTATCACTTTTTTTTCTTTGTCATTTTCTAAATGACTTCTCCGATATCCTTTTCAGTTTCATTCTTTTCCTTTCGTCGTCCTTAAGTCATCTTATAACTGACTTTAAAAAAAAGACAGATGGCTGTTGTGCGTTCTGGCATAGCCTGGTATTTTTTCACTGTTGTAAGTGCTATCGTCCTCTGTGTCCGCCTCCACCGGCCACTATGGTGGAATGGTTAACGTCTTTGTCGTTACACGCTAAAAATATGAGATTGATTCCGGCGTAGGGCAGCCTCGTTTTAATTTTTGTCCAGTTTAATATATAAGTTTTTCTCATATGGAGACTATCCTTCCGAGTCCCGAGCTGGTCCCGAGAGGCATCGTGGAAGCAACCCGCCTATAAAATGTCTATTTGGATGAAAAACTGGCAAACTTTCATAGTCTGTCTCATGGTGACATTACAGCTGTTATTGTTCTGATTCTCGTCAACAACCCACCGCATTAAAAAATACTCAACGGTACTTTTCCCCCTACTTACAAAGATCCTGCATTCTTAATGGGGAAAACCGAACTTGTTGAGGAGCCCTGATTTGGACTTTTCCGTCATTTACTGTAGTATAGTATAACATCATCGTTAATGCCCTTCTCTCCATGGGTCAGGCCACGAACAAACACTTTACGCATTTCGCTTTCGCGGGCTTGCCTCTTGATATTATTATGTCTTCCCACTTGTAAGTGCATCCTTCTCCGTGACAACCGAGCGACTTGTCTCTTTATAGATGCTTTTGATGAGGTTAACTAACTTCTTTGGGATTCCGTGATGTCCCAATATCTTCCGCAGTGTTTCTGGGCCTATACTGTTGAAGACGGTCTCATAGTCAAGGAAGGTGACAATCAATTGTGAGTTCCACTTTAGGGACTGTTCCACTATGATCCGTTAAGTGGCAGTGTGGTCGATGGCTGACCGACTTTTTTTCTTCGTGAACTAGCCTGTTCATCCCCAAATGTAGTATAGTGCCGCAAAAACTATTCTTTTTTAAAACTATTTAAAATGGTTTAATTCGTTTTACCTTTCCTGGAAGGACGGGACCCCCCGCCCCCCTTTTTTTCTTTCCAAAATGACGAAACTCTTTTTCTTCTCTAAGGAAAAAGCACGAATTTTTTCTATTCTTTCCCAGAATGACGGAAGTCCTTTCTCGTCTCCAGCCAAAATATCGAATTTCTTTTCAGTTTTTCCAGCACGACGAAACTGCTCTCTCTCTCTCTTCTCCAAAATTACGATTTTTTCCCTCTTTTTTTCCCCAGAATGACGAGTTCTTGAGCAAAGAGTTCCAGGAAACCATCATCGTCGCCCTTACACCTTTACTAGAAAAGAACCATCCCACCCAAGAGATCTGTGATTTTTTTAGCAAGGTAAGTTGATACAGAAAAGGGTCATATGAGCGCCAAAGGGTAGATATCAAAGGAGAAGTCCTTATAGTGAATCAGACTTACTCTGCTCACCTCTCTAGCTTCGACTATCAAGGCACCCCGGAAATAATGGGTCACAAAAGTGTGGCAAACATACAAAAGTAGTAGAGGAAATGATGATAGTAAGGATCAGGAAAGAAAAAGCAGCAGTTCCCTGTTGTAGCTCAGGCAGTTATGAGCATGACATTGTTAGATCAGCCCATTTACAATTCTACTGTGCAATAGAACGAGAAATGTCCCCCCTTTGGGAATGGCCAAGACACTTCAGTCAGTGGCACCGCCCCGGGGGGTATTTAAAGGGTTTGCCTGTTTATAAACAACAACACAAGTATTACGTAACTAGCTGGGCCCCTTTGGACGAAAGGATCTATTACCTGTTTATTACCTGTCCTGGGCAACAACGTCATTGCACACCGGACAGGTCCATAAGTGCTCAGTTCCCCCCAGCACCAAAGCCCGCAAGGTGTCCATACTGATTGTTCCGGTGGCTGTCTGGTTATGGCGACGTCAAAACAACGGTGATGAAAGGAATGATCGGTACATTAACATAATCTTTTTTGCAGGTACTTACTAACTTTGAACCCTGTAGATGTCGTAGTTTTACGAGAGAAGTAACACATGCGTTTCCAAGTCGCCAAATATATAAAAGATTCTTTTTTTAAAATTGTCTGTGATGAAAGGAATGATCGGTACATTAACATCATCTTTTTGCAGGTACTTGCTAACTTTGAACCCTATAGATGTCGTAGTTTTAAGAGAGAAGTAACACATGCGTTTCCAAGTCGCCAAATATATAAAAGATTCTTTTTTAAAAATTGTGTACGTCAGTTGGAATGTCCTTTGTGTCTGTTCTCCCCAGCACTGCAAGGATAGTCCGCGCTCAACGCTTGTTATCGAGCTCTTCACCCCCGTTGTGCATCGCATTCTCAAACATAACACGGTGAGTCAGGTCCCCTAGCTCATCATCATCATCATCATCATCATCATCATCATCATCATCATCATCATCATC